CGGAGAGGCCCTCGTATTTGTCTACCCCACTTTTAGTATTGTTATTTTTTTTTTCCAGACATTTTTATTATTGACATTATGTAAAGAGTAATAATAAATGCAAACCATCATGTATATGATGGAAGAATTAAATATTAAAATGGCATACATTGGAAAATTTATGACAAAACGCGTGTTAGTCGGTGTAATTAATGCTAAGTTATTGTTACTTTGTTAGTATTTCCTTGTTTAGCTTCCATATGAAGTACTATATAAAAAAATTTCTTATTTTAAAATTGTGGATAAAATCACACGTCAATTGTGTAAATAATACTTAAGTTAATTTAACTTTTTTTGTAAAGTTTTAGTTTGGGACCTATTTTGGACACTAAATTCGTCATAAACAAATTTTGGTATGAGTTTAAATTTAGACCCTATAATATTGAATTTAATGAATCTAAATCCTAAGAATTGCGTATGTGTTTTTATTAAACTTGATCAAATCTGATCCATTGCTTCCCTGCAGACCACTTTGATAACCACCAATAGCCATCTGAAGTTAACTATAGCAAGAGATAACTAAACTATGGCAAAGGATCACCACACGCCACTTAATTGATGATTATGCAATTTTCACATTCATCATGATATACACACAAACTAATTGATGTAACCATTAGAAAATCATCAACTTTCATAAAAAAAAGATTCCATGAAGTTTGGAATCACCACCGCTGAAGTCTAATTCCAAAGAAAATTGTGATGACTTAAATTCGTGCAAGTAACGAGATCTTCATCAATTGGTGTCGTTTTAACTAATTGAAAAAAATATACATTAATAAATGATGATTTAAATACTTCTATTTAAGGTGTTTTCTTACGTAAAGTTGTTAATCTTGTTGTCGGAATTTGCTACTTAGCCGCAATTTCTCCTGATTGGCTAAATATGGAGAAAATGCATTGTAAGATTCCATTACTTTAGTGAATCTCAGACTTTGGTAGTGATTAGTAAGGTATCTTTTGAATTGACATCACTCATACTACGTAGGACCTATTCCATTCCAAGGCAAATCAAGATTTTATAAATTGGAAATGCATGACAAATGTTACTCTCAATGACAAAAGTAAATTTTAATAAAAAAAAATAATAATAATTGAAAATGGAGACCATAAGCTGTGGCGGATTCTGGATTTTCGAAATGGTGAGTCACCGTTAATTATTAATCACCCTATCCTACCTACACCACCACCCGCACCCACAAAAAAAACCTCAAAAAATACAAAAAAACCACACCCACACCCATTGCACCCACCCTTAACATATTGCACCATGGAAACAACAAAATAAGACAAAAAATTTGGAATAAACACATAAAACTTAAAGCATACATCACAAAATTACATCAATTATGGGTTTTTAGAGTCATATAGAGGGAGGAATAAGTGGATGATTTTTGTGATTTTAGTACATGTTCTTTCCAAAAATACTCTGTCTTTCATCTCCAATTTTCCAAAACACAAACCGTAAAACACAATGCCAAAGTACAATTTTACCACAATTGAACTAAACAACTCCGAACATTCAACAATTCAACCAACAATTTCAAAACAATGTATTTATCAAAATAAGAAAGAAAAAAAAAAAGGTAGAAGAAATGAAAAGTAAATAAATCAAAGAAAGGAATGAATAAAAAAGGGACTTGTTAAACATCGCCCGCGTTTTACTACATAAAGCCCACATTTTTTAAAAGTTTTGACATTCTTGCCCTTGTTATAATTTTTACCGAAAACGAAATTTTTCACTCACCAAAAATGTGGAGCAGGACTGGATCGCCGATTGACACCGAAGAGCCCTCAACGTCGGCTAGATGCACCGGAGAGACGCCGTCGACGCCGGGAAACGAGGTACGAAGCCATCTAAAACCACGAATTGGCGGCTGGCGTCCTGCCGGGACGCCGCCACCGTAGCGGTGGCGCCTAGCCAGGACGCCGCCTCCGTGGCCTTGGCGCCTGGCCGGGACGCCGCCACCGTGGCCTTGGCGCCTGGCCGGGACGCCGCCACCGTGGCCTTGGCGTCTGGCCAAGACGCCGCCACCATGGAAGCGGCGTCCTGGCCAGGCGCCACCGCCACGGTGGCGGCGTCCAGGCTAGGCGCCACTGATATTTTATTTTTTTTTTTTTAATTTTTTTTTTTTAATTTAATTTAAAATTTGTTTAATGTTTTTTTTTTTGTGTTACAATTTTTTTCGTTTTTTTTTTGGTTTTTTTGTTTTGTTTTTTCTTTTGTGCTAATGTTGTGTCAAATGTATTAATTTAATCTAATCTTATGAGATTATATTTATATGTTATTGTTGCAGGATTATGGTGGAGACGGAAATGATTATAGTGGGATTTTTGTACACGATGGTCTGTTCGAAGATGCTCAACAAGCGGTTGATTGGGCGAAACATGTTGCAATTACATCAGGTTTTTGTTTAGTAGTAGCAACTCATAAATTTCAACGGGATGGTAGAATGGATCGCATTTTGAGATGCGACCGTTATCGCAAAAGGGAGGAACGAGATTTCAGGCAAGCGATTCGGTTTGATACAAAGCGGAAAGGTTGTGGGTGTCAGTTCAGAGTAAAGGTTCGACAACAGCAAAGGGGTGACGGTTGGGAAGTGAAGAGTTACGGTAAATGGGGGTATCACAACCATGAGATGATCGCATATGAAGTGGGTCATCGACAGTTAAGCGGCCTAAGTCCTGCTGCGAAACTAGTTGTAAAAGAAATGAGTGATGCTCAAGTGAAGCCTGCTAAAATATTAGCATCTGTGTTGGAGAAATTTCCTGAAGACCAGCCAAACCGAAGACACATCTACAACGTCAGACAGAAATTGAGGTTTGAACGGTCAGAGGGAAGGAACCCTATACAGCAGCTTCTACACCAGGCACAAGCACGTGGTTACCTGTACTGGTTTGAATCTGATGAAGACACATCGGAGGTGACTCATTTGTTCCTTGTGCATCCTGACTGTGCTGATATGATTTCGTCTTGGCCATCTGTGATTACGATCGATTCAACGTACAAGACAAACAAGTATAAGTTTCCACTGGTTAAGATGGTTGGGATGACTCCAACGAACCAGAACTTTTTGATTGGTTATGCAGTTATGAAGGATGAGACGGTTGCGAGTTACCGTTGGGTGTTGGAGAAGTTGAGAAATTACATCGGCCCAAATGTTCAGCCATCGGCCATCGTCAGCGATTGTGAGGGAGGTCTCTTTGCCCCTATAGCGGAGCTGTTTCCGGAGTCGAGCCATTTACTGTGCACATGGCACATCAACAACTGCGTGAAAGTCAAAGCCTACAACCTTTTCAACAAGAACTTAGATTCAGCAGAGAGATTGGTAAATGGTAAGTGGCGGAAGATCCTGCAAGCTACCACGGAGGAAGAGTACGACCGAGCCTTGGATAACTTCAAGGATGCATACCAATGGTGCCCGACAATCGTAGACTATGTGATGCAGCAGTGGGTGCCTCAGAGGGAAAAGTTTGTCAAATATTGGACAAACCAAGTTCTTCATTTTGGAAACACTACTACATGTAGAGTTGAGAGCGCTCATAGAGCTCTGAAGGACTGGATTGATTCTTCCACCTCTGCTCTGGATACACTGTTCGAGAGAATAAACAAGGCTATTGATACTCAGAGGAACGGCATCAAGAACTCTCTTGAGGACTCCAGACGGCGACATGGCACGATGTATCTCCATGGTCGTGTGTCACACTACTGCTTGGGGTTGATTCTGAGCGAGCACACCAGGATGAGGGAGTTGGGTGATGAAGTGGCTATTCGGTGCGGATGTGCTATATCGGTGACTCATGGACTACCTTGTGCATGCACCATTCACCGCGTAATTACGCAAGATAGGGCGTCGTTACATGTTGATCAGGTTCATCCATTCTGGCGGACGCTCGTTATCGGAGAGCATGCTGTTCCACAGACAGTCAACCGTGAACAAGAGGAGTTGGAGCAGTTTCGTTCGATGTTTGACCAAGTGTCCTCCAGCCACCCTTCAATCATTCGTAGTGCTACCCACGTACTTCATGACATGTTCAACTCGTCGTGCTTGGATCATGAGGAACCTGAGGGGGTCGAGCGACCACGGGGCCGACAACCACGGCGGGAAAGGAGTGCGTTTGAGTACATTCGTGGTCGTGGTCGTGGTCGTGGTCGTACATCGTCATCAAGTGGTAGTCAAACTTCTTCGTCGGTGAATATGCCCGGCACCGGTACGGTACTTTAGTTTAATTTACTTTTTAGAGTGTTTGTTTAGTTTTCTGCTGACTTGTTAACTGTGTTTTTTGATGTGTGCAACAGGTAGAATGGACATTGAACATTTTCCATATAAAGACAGGATCCCTAATATCATGATGCCGTTCCTGGACGGGTGGAATGATGTGGTTGCAGATGGTAACTGCGGATTTCGGGTTGTGGCAGATGTGTTTCAGATGGGTGAAGACAACTACGGTTTAGTGCGTCAGTTGATGTACAGTGAAATCGCCTCAAACCGAGCTGTTTATCGCCACGTGTACGGACAGGACTTGGATAGGTCTTTGCAGCGTATCCGGTGGGGAGGAGGACCTTGCGGTCAAAATCATTGGTTCGACGCGCCACTTGATCTCTTCGCCGTTGCAAACATCTACAAGTGTGCAGTGATGCATTTCGGCCTTGGTTTGCATGGTGGAGCTTACTATCCATGTACCACGGTGCTGCCTTGGTGTTCGCGTGAGACCGTCACCAGACCGGTAACAGAGGTTGCTATTGGATTTCTGGGGCCGTCATACAGACATTTCATCCGACTGGACCTGTCACCCAATTTTCCGGTCCCACCGATCATACCAACGTGGTACACCATTCGTACAGCAAGCGTAGAGGGCTGGGATGCGTTATATCATGACCGGGAGCAGCAGTGGAACAATCTAGTTGCCTTTTCTATGTGACCTTCTATTGTTATTGCTATGTTTTTCCCCTTTAAGAGTAATTTTCGGATTCTAATTTTCGTATTTAGTTTTCCCATTTATATGTGAACTTGTATTTAATTTTCGTATGCCCACTAATTACAACTTAAAATAATAATTATAAAAACTAAAAATATAATGTCAAATTCTAAGAACTTTAAATAATAATTATAAGAATAGATAATGTTAACTTTTACAAACAACTAGGAAAATGTTATATAAATGCACTGCCGACATATCAATAATCTCTCTGTGACGCCCACTGCCACTGCTCAAGGGCCCGTTCCAGTTCATCAATAACAGCTCTGCCTGTTGCAGTCGTCATGTTGTCCCTCTCCTCAAAAAGTCTGTGTCCCAACTGCGTCATCTTTCCCATCCACTACACATAACAAAACACATAAAATTCAATAACGACGTATTATATGAAAAAAAAAACACAACAACAAATGTTTTATGAGTCGTACCGCATCCACGGCAGTGGGCGGTGGCACATCATCATCATCGGCGTCGTCGCCGTGGTGGACGTCTCTGATCAACCTCGGGTGCGAGTGCCGGTTGTACCACTCCATGTAGTGCTGGTCACACATGGCAGCCACCCCAGCTGGCGGCCGCTGTAGCTGCTCAATCCATATGCGGGCAACCATCGGAAATTGCTCCCACGTGCCAATCATGCTTGCCGGCCATTGGACGACGTACTCCTTCGACGACGCAGATCGGACGGCCTTACTGGGCCATGCTGGTGGAGGAGGAACAACTTGGACATATCCAAGCTGGCGAAGACAGCGCTGCGGCATGTACGCCTCTACGATCTCACGATACTGAATCAGTCCCGTGTAGAGGGACCTGGGTACCCTATTACTAGGGTTCTGGCCGAAAGGCATCCAGTTCACCTGCACATTTTTTAAAATTATTAAGATTCATACAATAAACACATCAAACTATAAAAGTAGAAATAATTTTAAACACTTTACCTCTAATGGGGACATCCTGTCAAGCAATAACCGTATCGATCGCAGGCGGTCAATGGACTTCTTCTCGACACGCGGACTCCACGCACAGGCACGTGGCTGGCCATCCCCAATAGGAACCGGGTCGCGGTGTGGTCGAAACGCCGGGAAATACTCGTATATCCACGTCTGTAACAACGTCATACATCTAGTGATACCTGCCGCATCAGCCCGGCTCGAGAATCCTAACTGGCGATACATGTACGCTAATGTAGCCGACCCCCAAGAAAACTGGCCTACTCTGTCGGGCTCACACGCGTCAACTATGTCGCGTGGCCTGAGCTTGTTTCCGCTCTTATCCGGAAACAAGGTACACCCGAGAAGAAGAAAAACATATGCAGCTAGCTGTGTGTCCTGCGTCCTACGTGAAGTGGGGTGCAAACATCGCTACAAAACTGCTGCGATCTTAACACCGCCGTGATCCCACACACCAAGTGCCGCTGTGTACAGCGCAGCCCTATCCACCGCCAACAGCTCCGCTAGTAAATCTGCCTGATCCGCATCTGTGACAACAGATGCTCGGTTTCCCTCTACGGGAATCCCAAGGATGGCCTCGACGTCATGCAACATGATCGTCATCTCACCGAACGGAAGGTGGAAAGAGTTCGTGTCCGGCTGCCATCTCTCAACGAAAGCCGTGATCAGCGTCGAGTCAATCCTCTCATGCATGGTGGCAGGAAGGTGGCTCACTCTAGTGCCCCTCAATCGGCCGACCATCTCGCTCTCCTCCGGCCAAGCCTCAGCCCAACTACACAAGAAGTTACAAGTCCTCTCCCGGGTTTGGCATTTCAAAATGCCGCTATCCAAAGCCCGCTCTTGGTCCTCCCAAATACGGGTAGCGATGTGTCCTAGAAAGCTAGGAATCACACTCCCGTCTATAGGTCCCCAGCCACCTCGCCCCTCACCACCCAAGAATCATTAACGGCCCTCGACCGTTTTCTGCTAACCGCAGACACAGTGGACGCAGATGATGTGCCAGATCTACTAACAAATCTACCATCTCTACCCTTACGCACGGCTACCCTACGCGTCTCATACACATCATCAAGCCTCTGACTGAATGGACCGTAATCATCATATGGTCCACTCTGATCGTCCACATCCTCATCTGCATCCTCCTCCTCCTCCTCCTCCTCATCACCATCATCATCTTCATCATCCTCAGAATAGTGCACCCGTTCTCTACGAGCCGAGGCCGAAATACCACGGGATCTAACGTGTCTGGGCCCCGAGCTCTCCATTGAGTTCATCGTACTTCTCATAATGTCCATACTCTTCCCAGCCCCAGAACGAAAATACGATGCCTAAAAATTAAAAAATAAAACGGAAAAACAAAAACAAAAAAAAGCAAAAAAATAATTCAAAAAAAAATAAAAGAAAATGAAAAAAAAAAAAATAAGGGTTCTGGCGCCTGTCCCAGACGCCAGAGCCACGGTGGTGGCGCCTGGGCAGGACGCCGGTGCCACGGTAGTGGCGTCTGACGTGGACGCCGCCACTGTGGCACCGGCGCCCTGCCCAGGCGCCACCACCGTGGCCTTGGCGTCTGGGACAGGCGCCGGAACCGTGGTGGAGGCGTCTGGGCCAAACGCCGCCGCCCAGTCGCCGCCGTCCAGCCACCTTTTACGGTTTTTTTTTTTTTTTTTTAAACAAATTAACAAAATATAAAACATACCTTTCCTCCTCCAAACCCCCTTGCTCCGGCCACCGGTGCCGCCACTTCCTTGCCTTGCCGCCTCGACATTTTTAAAAAATATTTTAGAGAGAGAAAGTGAGACTACAAAGTTAAGAGAAGATGAGAGTGTGTTTTTTACTAGAGTACAGAGTATATAATTTTAGTTCAAGGGCAAAAGAGTAATTTCACTTTTAATTTGTGGGCTTTATGTGGAGATTTGCGGGCGATGTTTAGCAGTTCACATAAAGAAAGGGGGAAAAAAAATTGAAAGAAAAAAAAATTATAAAAAAAAAAAAAGGACAACCATCAGACCCCCCACCCCCAATTTCTTCCTTCTTCCTTTTCGCATGTGGCTGCTCTGTTCTTCGTGGCTCTCTTCCTCTACAATCATCATCGTCGTCGTACATCACCATCGATCAGCAAATCAAGACCGTTGTTCATGATTAATTCAATCACAAAACCACAAAACGAGGAGAATCGCAAATTAATCAATAAATTAACTGCAAAAATTTCCCTATTAATAGTTTCAAATTAAAATTAACCGAAAAAAATTCAAATAATCAACTGCAAAATTTTTAAAAACAAGTATGATTTTAGATTAAGCAGAAACAACCAATTATTCAAGTAATCATTCATTCAACTGCAAAATTACTGTGGGCTGTGCGACAGTGGATTTTGTTATTTTTTTCAATTAAATTTTTTTTCCTTTCTCCTGCTGAGTTACGTGCACCAGCATGCACCTGAATAGATCCGCCACTGACCATAAGGTCAGAGAGATAATAGTAAATCAAAAATGTTGCAGTAATAGATACTAAGACCACTCTCAATGGTGAGCAAAAAAAATGTTCACCCACTCTCTCTCTACCCACTTTATCTCTCAACAAATCAATTTTGCTCATGGATAAATTTTTTTCACATTTTCTCTCCCAATGGTGAGCAAAAAAAAATGCCCACCCACCACTCTCTCTCTTAGAGCACTAGTAATGATGAGAAATTTTTTTGCTCATGAGCATTTTTTGTGAGGAAAAAAAAATGATCACCAACCACAATGGTGAGAAATTGGTGAAATGCAAAAAAAAGCCCTTGAGCATTTTTATTGATGAACAGTAACCCATGTGGGGCCCACACCTGGCAGACCCACTAAAAAAATTTCAGCCAACCCACCATCAAAACGACGCGTTTTGATGAAGCTTCCTCAAAGGCGCGCCTCAAAACGCGTCGTTTTGAGGTTGCGGATTTTAAAAAAAAAAACTCAGTGCTTCTGACGCGTGCAGGGGGTTGGCGAATGACGAGGCGACGAGTGGCGTGTGCAGCGGAGTAGCCAATCAAAAAATACTAGCCGTTTACAACGGTTATATATTTGTAATCTATTTTCTGAAAAATATATTTTGTAAAAAAAAAAAAAAATTACCAACGGTCATAAAATTAAATTCTCTATAAATAGACATGCATTTTGATATATTTTGATATAATTTCGTAAACACTTTAAATCCTCCATATTCTTTATTTTAACGATAAAAACGACACAAATAAAAAAAAATAAGTTACACAAATTTAGACTAGTTTTTATTTATTTGGAGTATATTGTTAAAATATAAATGAAATTAATAAATAAAGAAGTGTTGTGTTGGAGAGAGAAAGCAATGGTAGGGTATTGAAAAAGTAAGAGAGAGAGAGTAGTGGGCAAGATTTTTTTTGCTCACCATTAGGAGAGAAATTGTGAAAAAAATTTGCCCATGGGGAAAACAGATTTGTTGAGAGAGAAGTGGGTAGAGAGATAGTGGGTAAGCATTTTTTCTGCTCACCATTGAGAGTGGTCTAAGGCCTTATTCACTTGAAGTTACTGATAGATCAATACGAGACATGACCTAATCCACAACCATTTCCAAACATCTCTTACACCCATATTTTGAATATAAATCCAATCCTTAGACTATATTTATATCAATACCTAAAATTGACTACCTATCATATCTATGGCCAAACTAATCTCTCTATATAATTGTATTTAAAAAATCGGTTTTTTGCCAAACACTACTAAGTAATTCGTTTATTCACAATATACTCATAAAACTTTCAAAATTCACCATTGAGAGTAGTCTAAGGCCTTATTCACTTGAAGTTACTGATAGATCAATACGAGACATGACCTAATCCACAACCATTTCCAAACATCTCTTACACCCATATTTTGAATATAAATCCAATCCTTAGACTATATTTATATCAATACCTAAAATTGACTACCTATCATATCTATGGCCAAACTAATCTCTCTATATAATTGTATTTAAAAAATTGGTTTTTTGCCAAACACTCCTAAGTAATTCGTTTATTCACAATATACTCATAAAACTTTCAAAATTCACCATATACCCTCGAATTTAACAACGATGTCCCAAATGCCCAAATGACTAATGGACGTCAATTCCGTTAGTCATTAACGGTTGATTGTGCCACGTGGCATGCTCTTATTAGTTGTTTTTAAAATCTATTTAATTATTTTTTTAAAAAAACCAAAAAAAAAAAAAAAAACAGCCCAAACCCCAGCCACCCTCCCCGCCCCACCACCACCACCACCACCAATTAACTCCCACCAAAACCCTCACCCCAGCCACACCACAACCTTCCTCCCCCATTGAAACCTTAACCCCAGCCACCCCACCTCAGTCGAACTCAAAACGAGGTGGTGCAGGTCGTGGGTTGTGGTTTCGCTTGGGCAGGGGAGAGAGAGGGATGGTCGTGGGTTTGGGTTTCAATTTGGGCGAAGGAGAAAGAATCGTGGGTTTGGGTTTCAATCTAGGCGGAGGACAAAAGAAAGGGGGATCGTGGGTTTTCGATCTACACGGAGGAGAAAGAGAGGGGATCGTGGTATGGGTTTTAGTCTGGGCGGTGGTCGTGGTCAGAGGACAAAGG